TGATTTCAAAACTTGATCTTGTCTTAAACCTATTTTATAAATGGATTTGCATAGTTGTCACTTGACTTAGTATAATCTAATTGTTTTATATTGTTTTCAATATGACGCAATAGAAATTATTTAGTGATCGGGCCTACAACCTTTTATCTATTACAATGTACACATAGTGTTGGAGCTACTTTCTTCCACATTGGAATATTTTCCAAAATAATTTGAAGTCGGTACATGCTTCTTCTATGCATTGTCTAAACAAGTAAGCTCAAATTATATGGTTGACATGACCAATAAAATTTGTTCGGAAGATTTTTTAAATAATGGAATTAGGGTGCTTGAATAACCAAACGAATTCATTGAAGACAATAGATCACAAAATTTAGATGAACTCATGGTTTTAGTCTCTTTACCAATCACCCTCTTACCCTAAATATAAATCATCCTAACCATAAATTCCCACTGTTAGGTATGAAAAACTCACAAAGTCTTACTCTGATATTTTTATTAAAGCACTGCGACTCTCCTTTTGGTTTGCAAAATGATTTTTTTTTTTTTTTTGTTATTGGGCGGTGACTGCATTTGTGTTATGTTCTAAACTATCATGAGGGTGATCGAGTTTTAAACCTGAATTGTGAAACCATAAATCACACTTCATTTCTAATACAACTGAGATCAATTCACAAGGAATCGATAACAACGCAATATGTCTATACAATAATACTTCGATAATCAATATTTATGGAGATGTTGTGTTACAACAAAAAAAAAATCAATATATGTTGAGCTTTATAAATTTGTTTTTAGTCAAAGATTCCATTTCATAAAACTCTAAGCAGAGTGATCGAATAACAAAGTTTGAATAAAACATTCATTGCGAAAGCATCAGCTGAACAAATTGATGTCTATAGATTAAAACTGAAAGATATCGGAGTGAAAAGAGTGACAACGTTTCAGATATATAGAGAAAACTTATAAATCTCATTCATGTCCAACCCTGAACGCAGAACATAGAATAAGACAAGTGAGTCTGAAGGTAGCTGAAGTCTTGAGAGTCCAACTGACTTTGCTGATTGAAGAGCTTCTTGCAGCGTTAAAGCATCGGTTGTAACGGGCAAGTCCACACACACTCTACTAGAGGAGCCATGGGGGTCACATGCTTCACTCATTCCACGGAAAACCTATCCAAAACCTTCAGTTTTTAATGCTTCATCGTTACAGTTCCATTCAACCAAATGTTTTGGACAGTTCTTAACGTGAAGGGTACTTGTCTCCCAAAGTTATTTTGAACACAAGAAGATGGTTTAAGAAAGCCAGTACACAAATCTATTGAAAATATTGGATATATATTGAGTTTAATCAAATACAAATCAATATTTTTGGAATTGATAATGCGATTAATATCTGAAACCAAAACTTTCGGGTTCAACCAAATTTTGGATATGTAATTAAATCCAAACTGAACCTGACTAAACCCAAACTGAATTCGATTTAAATTTTTATAATATAAGAATGGAGTTAATTCATGAATACGAAAAATCTGAACTCTAAATGAACGCAAACTGAAATCTGACTGGGACCCGGATCGCCCTGAAATCCGACTGGGACCCGGATCGCCCAGCCATAGAACAAATAATCACCAAAGAGTTGTTGACGTCGCTTGTACTGACATTTACCCTTACTTATAGAAACACACGTAGAGGGTAATCCTTTTGTGTTTGCTTTCGTAATGTTACTATCACTTACACTATATTATTCATTTTAATGTTATAATCTTTCATATATTCACACAAACTAAAAACTTGGGGCCCAAGCAATCGAAAGAAACAAAGACCTACTAAACAAAGAAAAATATGTGAGCTAGCTAATACTTTTGTTTGATTTATAGCCAAACAGAAAACAGAGCCAGAGAGAAACAGATTGTGGATATTGGGCATCACTCCTATAATGGCAAAGTCACATCTCCAAGAAGCTTGCTTCACCCCTCATCGTTTCTCACAGCGAGCTGGATGTGACGAGGAACAATAAGTGTCTTCTTCTTGCCTCTTGCTGCGTTTCCAACAAGTTCAAGAACCTTAAAGAGATCGAACAAACAGTTCTCAGTCTCAACGAAGCCACGACTGATCAGATGCTTTCAACCCTGGAAACCCCTTTTATGATGATAACACCTCCAAACTGAAAGACAATAACTAATCAAAAACTGTCAGTTATTACTAAATGAAAGCCAACGATTTGGAAGTTTTTGTCCCACCGCTTGACTATTTTGGTTTGTTTCTTTTGAACTCGTAACAATAAGAACTGAAATACAAACTTATCAGGCCGATTATGGGCCTAAACTTGATGGACTCACAACGATTATTCTTAGAAAAAGTTTTAGTTGAATTCTTTTTATCACCCTAAAAATAATTTGATATACCAACTCAATGTATATGCAATTCTCATGTGTAGTGTCGCTGGGATCTTTTTTTGATACACGTCACCTACTCTCACCGTTGTGAAATTTGAATCATGAGTATTCTAGACGGTATAACTGATCATGTTAAACTAACATAGGATATTTGGATATACGAAAACATCATTCATCTATAAGAATAACCGGGTTTTTTTCCACTTGTTTCTCATAGATCAAGATAGCATTAGATCTGAGATGTCTTCATTATATTTCTCATTTCATGTGGTGTGGTCGAATGATGGTCTTGTTGGCTAGGGTTAGGGAGGGCAAGACTGGGAAACCCAGAAGGACAATCTATCAATATGCTTCAAATTTCAATTTATAATTTAATGCCTTCTCATTGAATTCAATAAGGCTATAACGGCACCCACACCTACCTTCACCCCCACCCTCTTCAGTATCTACTCTTTGCGATATCTACAAACAACATTCAATGCACTTTGATCCTTTAGATTTATAATTATCATATTTTCATCCTTAACGAATAAGCAAAGTTGTTATTTCAATCCTCCTCTTTGTTAGACAATCTTATGAAGTAAATATTACTTCAAACAAAATGTTACTACAATACAGTGAGTGTAAACTATGTGTATTGTTTTATGTAATTTCTACAATTTTAGTTTTATCTACACAAAAATCACACTTAGTACCAAGAAAATATATCATGTCTCATTTCGTTCATAACACCTTAAACTTGTTAACTTTAATTTTTGTGTATATTGAATAGTTAATGTTGATAGTAACCATTGTTATTTATTAATAAGAGTTATTAAGTCTTTATGGCATCAGAGTGATTAGGTCATGTAGTATATTAATAGAGAGTATAGTATATTGATTACTATCTTCCAAGAGTTGTCAGATTGCTTCATCTGCCCTTCTGGTTTTCTATGAGTGAATTGACAGATCAAGCGGAAAGAAGTGAGTTGAAATCAATGCTCCTTTTCAATTTGTTTCAAATATCTAGTGCATATGTAGCTATGCTGCAACTGAATAGTAGCTATCAATTAGTTGTCATTGAACAACAATAATCTGTCAACATTACTAGGATTAACTTAGTAAGTGACTACATAATTTTGTTCGACTACATTATAGGACCTGCTAATAATAGTCCATATAGAATCGACTCTGTCAATGTTAGGACAGTATTTACTATTTAGATATTCATCAAATATGCCATTTGTTTACTTTATACCTTGACGATTCTCTTGGTTTTAATACGTACAGTATAATCTCGCAGTAAAAATCCTATTAGTAAATTTTTTTAATGTGAACCTGCCCACACACAATCTCATTGATTGCCGTTGTATTAACTACCTTTCATCAATGTTCTAAAATACGTTATACGGTAGTCGGGCGGTTGACTACCGTATAGCGCTTATACGCATATACGGATGTTTATATGGGGTATATATGGTCAATATTTTATCTTCATGTTTTATACATACTAATATATATTTTATATATAGTAAAAAATATTGTGCGACACGAAACTATATTTCATATTTGGGTGTATATTTGAATTTTTCTTGTTCATGTACATATATTTCTGTTTTTTTGAACTGAAATGTACATATATTTCTGGCTGATTCAATTTTAAAATTCATGAAAGATGTGATATATGTTGTTTGGTTTAGTAGAAAATGAAGCTTAGCAAAAGTTTTACGAAGAAATTACGTAATATTATCATTATCACTGGTTTGACTTTTGTATTTAATTAAGAACCACACATTAATGTGCATGTCATAATGTGCATGTCATAAATAAAGAAAATTAGTGTGGATTCAAGCGGTTCATGAACAAACCGTATAATCTAAGTGTACATGTCAAAACGGTACAGTGGCTAACCGTTCAGCGCATTGACACCGTATAAACGTCCGTACTGACCGAATTTTAGAACAGTGCCTTTCATTAAACTTTGGAAGTGATAGAAACTTAAGATAGAAACTTAATGTAACTATGCTAGAACGATAGTGAATGTATTATGTTGGAACCAAACTTAATGTAAGTTCATGATATTCATCGTGCACCGAATCAAGGTTATAGTATCAGATAAAAAGTTAAAATGTTCAGTTAATGTTATAAATTATAATATACTACTCCGTTGGAAAAGATTTAGACTAATCCTGCTTTAATTAAATTTAAAATGAGACTACTATTTCACGATCGTGATAAAAGTCTTTTTGGCTCTTATAGATTCGCAAAATAGTAAACGAAGGAAACATTCTCTTGTGTTATTTGCAACTGTGAGTTGAGACATTAATATTATAGACCTTCTTTAGATTCATATGGACGTACATACCTACTAATAAATTATTTTAAAAAATTACTCTTGCCTATTACATCTTTTATTGTTTTCATTACTCTCATTTATTTGCAAAAATAGACCATCATTTAATAAAATCAACTGTATCTTCAAAAGACGAAAGAAACATATTTACTTGCCTATTATGCTTCTTCTTCCTTATTTTTCTATTAAATTAAAAAATCGCTTCCAAAAAAAAAACAAAAATCTCAGAACAAGATAGAGAGAGAAAGAGAAAGGGAGATTACAACCACAATGGACGATTCAAACACAAGAAGCCAAACTAAGAAGACGAAGAAGCTTCAGAGAGACAAGAACAACAACAAGAAGAACAACATCCCAACTGTTTGGTTCTCTCTCAAGAAATCTCTCCACTGTAAATCCGAACCATCCGATGTCCACGTCCCCAAATCCTCAAAACACCTCACCACAATCTCCACCAAACGTATCTCCACCGTCAACTCCTCCTCCCTACCCTCCGCCGGATGCGGCGGCGGCTTATCCGGATGTTCAAGATCGATAGCGAATCTCAAAGACGTGATCCACGGAAGCAAACGCCACTTCGAGAAACCGCCGATAAGTGGTAGTCCTCGTTCTATCGGAAGCAACGAGTTTCTCAACCCCATAACTCACGAAGTCATCCTCAGCAACTCCACTTGCGAGCTTAAGATCACCGGCGTCGGAGACATGGCTTCACCCGCCGGAGCAACGGAACGGCCGACGACTTTTGTGGGGATGTTGAGACCGGGAACGCCTATGCATCATCTGAATCATTCTGCTTCTTCCCGGAGCCAAGCGTCGTCGACGGCGGCGGTGAAAAAGGGCTCATTTGCTCCGTCGGAGAGAGACGGCAGAGGAGAAGGGTTTCACACAAGCAGGAGAGTTTCTTTGGAGATGAACAGAGACTCCGCCGTTAATGGAGGGAAACACTCTGTTTCTTGCCATAAATGTGGTGAACAGTTCACTAAACTCGAAGCTGCAGAAGCTCACCACCTCTCTAAACACGCCGGTAAGCCGTTTAGATTACTAAACTTTCACCATTGAGATTATGCAATTAAGAAATATAATCCATCCCTTCCTAAATACTAAGATTTTTCTAGGTAACACACATTATGAAATTTTTTTTTTATCTAAATATATCCTTAAAACTATAATTAAAAATTATTTAACCATTTACAAAATAAGCTATAAAAATTTGACTGGTTACATTTTTATGATAAAATTAAAATTTATGTAAAAATATAACAGCGCATTTTATGTACTGAAACATCGAAATTTTTGTTAAAGATCATATATCTGTGAACATAAGACTATGAATAAAAGTATCGTTAAAACTGTAAATAAAATATTATTCAATAATTTATAAAAATATAATTGGTACATTGTTTTTGATAAAATTTAAATTTATCTAGATATATAAGAACATTTTACATATTTAAACATCTAAAATTCTTGGAAGTAACGAATTATAAATTTTCAACTTTATGTACGATTTTTTTGGCACATTTAAGTCATAAAGTTCTAAAACTTTGATCATATTGCAGTGACGGAGCTCGTAGAAGGCGACTCGTCAAGAAAGATAGTTGAAATAATCTGTAGAACGAGCTGGTTAAAGTCAGAGAACCAATGTGGGAGAATAGACCGTGTCTTAAAAGTACACAACATGCAGAAAACACTAGCTCGGTTCGAAGAATACAGAGAGACCGTAAAGATCAGAGCTAGCAAACTCCAGAAGAAGCACCCGAGATGTCTCGCCGACGGTAACGAGCTCCTCAGGTTCCACGGCACCACCGTGGCTTGCGGTTTGGGGATAAACGGGTCGACGAGTCTATGCACGGCGGAGAAATGCTGCGTCTGCCGGATCATACGGAACGGGTTCTCGGCGAAGCGGGAGAAGAATAACGGTGTTGGTGTGTTCACGGCGTCGACGAGTGGGAGAGCGTTTGAATCGGTTTTGGTAGGTGACGGAGATGGGGAGAGGAAGGTGTTGATTGTGTGTAGAGTGATCGCCGGGAGAGTTCATAGGCCGGTGGAGAATGTGGAGGAGATGAATGGGTTGTTGATGAGTGGGTTTGATTCTTTGGCCGGGAAAGTTGGGTTGTATACAAATGTGGAGGAGCTTTATTTGCTCAATCCTAGAGCTTTGCTTCCTTGCTTTGTGGTTATTTGCAAATCCTAAACAAAATTATTTAGCATTTTTGTTTTGGCAAAAAGATCAAAATGTTATTACTATTTGTTTATAATCTCTAGTTTTTTGTTTTACCATCTTGTTTCGAATTTTGTTTTCAAGGTGAATTTGGAGTTTGTGTTTTGATTTTTTTTTTTTTGGCTAGTTAATGTCTGAGCTCTTAATTATTCTTATCTAGAGAGACAAAAAAAGTTAAAATTTTTGTTCATATTATGTTAGTTAAATTTGTATTTTAGTGTATTATACCGATATAAAAATCTAAACCATAGATTGTGGAGTGTGTCAGAGTGGGAATTTAGTTTCACGGGTGTCTTGTTGGTAAAAGTGCTACGATAAATGCCAACTTTTCATTCAGTAAAAAGCTTTTACAACAATGTAAAAATAAATAAATACATGATAAAATATTTTGGTCGACGAGAAACCTTTTCAAAGGTGGATCATGAATGTTTGCTTGTTTGGTTGAATCATGTTCATCGTTCAGTATGGATTTAGTTGTTCAAGTGTTTTGATATTTTAACTTCTTATCATATACCTATCAAAAATAAATAATATATTATTATAAAAATAAATAATAAGAATAAGAATATATTAAGATAAATTAAATAACAATAGAACATATTTATATATATTACTCAAAAAAATTGTTTTGAGAAAGGGCTTTTTTACTCAGACGATCCAAAGACAATTCGGTTTTCTATAGCTTCAGAATTTTATTTGGAACCGTCCCCGTTTAGTCCTAGATTACTTACAATGGATATTTGTATAAAGACATGGGGAAATAAGAACAAAAGTAACATTAATGATAATTAGGCATTTTGCTAAAACGAATAAAATGGTCCATACTGAATAACTCGATAGTTTTCATAATGTCAGCGAGACAAAGCTTACGTCAAAGGTGTCGACAAAATTCTATCCCATGCAAACATTTATTTGGAGCTTTTATTAGTTCTATCTGCAAAAGCCACCCACTCATCAATATATATCCGCTGAGAAAGAAAAATCAGAATATGCGAGTCCAATAAGAACCTAAGTTTCAAATCTTGAAATTTCGAATTTTTTTTTTTTGTTCAAATTTCGAATTTTGAATACAAATATACACTTATAATTCTTTTATGTATCTCAGGGCTCCGCAAAAATATTTGTGACTACATTTTGTTCTATTACCACTTAAGCTGTTTGTGAACAAAGCAAAACTGTTAATATTTGGTTAAGAAGGGAGCCTACTCTAAAAATGAATCATGGATATCACAAAATGTGGTTATACGATCTTTAATTACGTACATATATATATGTTTATTTTTCATTTTTCAGTGTACACATATAAATGTTTTAGAGTGAGAAATGACGAGGCCTGAAATGAACATTGTATCGATATCAACCGAAGTAACGGTGGGGGATCATACCACATGACGCCTCAGAAAATTGTATCTGTACATACCTTGTAATTAATTATCTTCATTCGACAACAATGTATGTGATCATTTTCGGATCTTTTTTTTAATGAGAGTCAGAATGTATTAATTAATCCCCTTATAGCTAATTTTCAACGCTCGAAATATGTAAAATATTCAATATTTTTAAATGATGAACATTTGATGTAATGTTTGGTTGCTCTTTGTGATATTTTTCCATTGTAAATGGGCAAAATATAGTCAGAATTGAAAAGAAAATGACTTTTTCTCTCTTCTTTCTCCTCTCTTTTCTTTTCATGGCAATTTTCGCATCAACCAAAATTATTTGTTTCTTTTTGAGAGTGTCTGTCCGACTAATTTTAGTATCGATTTTTGTCCGTTGAGTCAACCCTCTGGCGGTTTTCATATTCACATCTTTTAGGATAAACAGTTACCCAAACCACCATGGTTATATAAAGAAGTCTATCGGCAAACTTGTTCCTTTGTTGTTCAGTTTTCACTATTAAAAAAGATGAACGACAACTTAAGAAAGAAAATGCAAGAAATTGATTTAGGTATTCATGAAACACCAATTCCATTAGCGGCTACGATTTGTGCACATGCAATACAAGCAAATCGCTTCTCAATTGTTGGAGTTTTGGTCAATCCTCAAAAACAAAATATACGTGCTCTGATTGGACAACTGCCTCGTCTGTGGGGCCTTGCTGATGAAATCGTGGGTCGTATTGTTGAGCCAACAAAGTTTCAGTTTGTTTTCCGGTCAGAAGAGGCACTGAATCTTGTCCTCCGCCGCGGTCCATGGTCGTTCAATGAATGGATGCTTGTGACTCGACGATGGGACGCGACTCTTACTCCAAACGATCTCAAAATCATACCTTTTTGGGTGCAGATTCGAGGCATCCCTTCGCAATTTCTTAACCGACAGATGATAGAGTTTATTGCTAATACTATTGGTCATGTCAGTGAATTACGTTCGATGAAGTGGCGAATCTAACAGATTTTGTTCGTGTCAAGATTAATTGGAACATTGATCACCCTTAAAGTTTCAGCGGAACTTTCAATTCAGTGCTAATGAAAACACTATACTGAAATTCCGGTATGAAAAACTCAGGAATTCCTGTGTCAAATGTGGAATGCTCAGTCATGAGTCAAAGGATTGCCTACAAAATAAGACTGATGATGATCTGCCAGATCCGCATGTTGATCCCCCTGATTCAACAAACAATGAAGACGAAGACAATATTAATACATCCGGGGCTCCTGCTCCTGATGTTGATGATCATAGGGTCACAGATGTTGGAGTTGCATTTCCATAGGAGGAAAACAATGATGTTTCTGAAGCGTCTTCGTCTGTTTCTGACAGTCTATTTTTAATACCAAAATTTGATGTTGATATGAATGCAGAGACAGTAAGGTACATTCAAGCAAAATTGGCTAAAGGCAAGTTTCAAAAGGGAGAGTTATGAACATGGCTGCATTTATTGGACAAAGCTAAGGAGATTCTGGAGGAAACAATGTGTACGCAAAAGGTACCACCACTCTCTGTTTTTGAGAGAGTTCATATCCTTGATGATGATGCTGTTCACATACCTGGACTCGGTTCTATTCAACATCTATTACAAGAACAAGAATTTACTGACATGTCTCCGACTTGGAATGGTACTGCACATACTGACACTCAATACAATCCTATGGAACCGCAGGTGTTGGAGGAGGAGTATATGAGTGGTTTTGACGAGTATGTGAAAGAAGAAGTGGATTTTTTTTATCAGAAAACGTAAGCGAGTGGAGCCTTTGAAGTGGGACTTTGAAGACTTACCAACAAGTCGGTTGGACCTGTTTCCGGCTCGTAAGAAGGAGAAGATAGAGTATGTTGACTCTTGCTCTGGTAATGATTTAGACGGAGGCGCTGGGGCCCAGTACCCCCATTGTTTCCATAAAGATCATCTCCTAGAATTGTTAGGGCCTCTGTACGCCGCTGACGAAAGACCGTCTGAAGGAGCTTTTCTACAAAGTTTCTCCAAAGATTTTATTTTTATGTGAAACTATGAATAAGAATGATGTAGTAAGAGATGTTGTTGTCTCTTTAGGATTTGATTCCATATGTCTGGTTCCTCCTCGTGGCAGAACTGGAGGATTAGCAGTCTTATGGAAGAAAGATGTTATTGTATCTAAATTGTATGAATCACCAAGACTCATTGATCTTTATGTTCAATACAATGGTTTGAATTTTTATTTGTCTTGTTTTTATGGTGATCCAAACCAACAATTTAGACATTTACTATGGAAAAAGTTACAGAGAACTGGAATTTCTATGACTGGTCCTTGGCTCTTAGTTGGGGATTTTAATGAAATTCTAAATAACTTAGAAAAAGATGGAGGTATGGTACGAGATGAATTTACTTTTCAAGATTTTTGGAATTTATATATAACATGTGATTTACGAGATTTGCGAGCTGTTGGGGATAAATTTTCATGGGTTGGGACACGTAATACACATGTTATTAAAAGCTATCTTGATCGTGTAATAGCAAACTAGGAATGGCTTTCTCTATATCCAGCATCATAAGCAGAATTCCTTCGATTAGCAAGATCAGACCATCGTCTTGTTGTTACTACGGTTTCTTTTTTAACACAGCGACAAACGAAACCTTTTCGTTTTGACAAACGTTTGGTTAAGGTTAAAGAATTCAAAAAAATATGTTGAATTAGCCTGGAACTCTTTAGATGGGGATAGCGATATTCAAATCGGAAAAGGATTTCTGAATGTAGAAGAGCAATGTCTGTTTGTAAGCATAACAATAAACTAAATGCTGCAAGGAAAATTGAGCAACTGCAATAAGAATTAGATGTTGTTCTTACTTCGTCGGGTCCCATTAGAAGTCAAATTCCAAGAATTAAAAAGGACCTAGTACAGGCATATCATGAAGAAGAAACATATTGGTATCTTAGAAGTAGAAATAATGGTTAAGCTGTGGTGATCGCAATAGAAAATTTTATCACGCCACAACTAAAGCACGTTTTGCTCGGAATAAGATCCATTCAGTTCAAGATTCAAATGGGCTTGTATACAAGGGAGATGCAGCTATTGGACGCCATGCTGAATGCTTTCCAAAGAAGTGTACTCCTGCCTTCTGTTTTCAAAGATTTCAACCAACGGTGATTACTGCTATCAATGAAGAAATTCCTAGGGATATTACTAATGAAGAAATCTATGCTGCTATTTCTCATATTTGTTCTGACAAAGCTCCTAGTCCGGATGGGTTAACGGCTCGGTTCTATCAAGAATGCTGGGATATAGTAGGAGAAGCAATTTGTGTGGAAGTTAAACACTTTTTTGCAACAGGAAAATTATCATCGGGAATCAATCATACAAACATTTTTATGATACCAAAAATTAGATTTCCTCAAACACTGTATGAAATTTGGCTCATTTCTTTGTGCAATGTTCTCTATAAAATTATAAGTAAGATTTTGGTTCATTGGGTGAAGTCCACTCTTGACAAAATTGTTTCAGATTCACAAGCAGCTTTCATTCCTGGTTGTTTAATAAATGATAATATTTTAATAGCCTATGAACTTATGCACTCCCTTAAATCAAGAAAGAGAGTGTCACAAACATATATGACAGTTAAAACTGACATAACAAAAGCTTATGATCGTGTAGATTGGAATTTCCTTGAAGGAACCTTACGTGCTTTTGAATTCTCGGAAAAATGGATAACATGGGTCATGGATCTTGTCACAACAGT